CACATCCCCCTGCCCCATGGGCAGTGGTTTCATTAGCCTGGCTGGCCACCACCTCTAACATCCTTGACCCTTGTTCTTTAAACTCCTCAAATACTCAAACGCACACAGACTGACCACAGGGCAGCGAAGCTCGGCCATCAGTCCATGTAAGGATCATGCGGAAAGCCGACAAAGTAGAGATTCTTCAGCTCTCCTGTTCCAAGATGATAGGTTTGGGGGATGGCCAGGTTATTCACATTTTTTAAGCAAGTTTTACTGAGGATTCCAAAGTAGGCAAACACCATACTCTGAAATCGGGAAACAGTGCCATAGAGTTGAGTGTTTTAGAACATAAAAGACTTTCAGGTTAGGTGCCTGAATCTGCTTGCAGTCAAGGGCTGATTCCTTCCTGATAACCTTTTACAGTCCCCAATGCCAAGAATTTTTTTAAATCAAATGGGAAAAATTTACCCTTGTCCTTCCCACATTCTCAAATAAATACTGCCTCTCTACCCTTTGTTCATAAGCTATTTCATAGGTACATATTTACTGCAATGAATTTGAAATAGTCATTGTACAACAGTGCCTAGGTCCCATACTCACTAAAGTGATACTGAATTCTTAGGGTCTTCTTTGTTTTTTAATTCAAAGCAGGCTGGCAGTCATTCAATTATAGTATAATTTGGTATTTCTGCTCACTCCACTTTAAGCAGTTCATCTCAATTCTAATCATTATGTTCGCAGGTTTACTGTATCTAGATGCTAAGCTTCCTCAACTGGACAAAAGCATCGCAGAAATATTTCTGTTTGGCAAGGCTGGTGAATTTCTGGAGGCGTTGTCATGTCTCAGCAGGGCACTAGTCAGGTTGTAATTTGCCTTAATTGTTCTTCCCACAAACACCAACAGTGATTACCTCTAGATCAATGGCGCTCAAAGAAAGATTTCTTCCAGGCACTGTAAATATCAAAATATTTTCAGCAAAAACCTCACTTGGGATTATACTGCAAAGAATCTCAGATTCTAGCCATTTAAAAAAAAAAAAACTGACCTGAGATTTATTTTTTTTTAAAGATATCAAGTCCCAAAGTTGCTCATATATTTGTGAGTGCGTATCAGAAACATGGAAATAACTCAGAGAAATTACTGGTCTCCTATAAAACAACCAGTGTTCTATACGCATAATTTGTTCCACCTGCCGTGTTTACAAGGCACCCCGAGGAGAACTAGCTTAAAACCCAGCAACCCATCTGCCTCCCAGTTCTAAGGGAGTAATTATTGCCTCAACTAAGCAAAGAAGAATGGACAGCATGCTGCTAAGCATGTCGCGTGACTGGCGCATGTGCCTGACATACTTACAGGCCATCAGCTTTTCTAATAGTGGCTAGAGTCACGGCTCTACCATGAGCATGACTCACTATTGATAGCAAAAGGGAAGAAAGATGGATGGAGGCCTAGATGCTATGGGCCACACCTAGTATACAGACCAAAAATGTAGCTATCACTTCTCACGGGCATATTAAAAGTAAGAAACATGGCGGGGGGAATAAGGTGACTTTATTCCCAAAATGGGAGCTTAAACTAACAACAACAGCAAAAAACCTGATTTAAAAAAATAAAAAAGAGGGGACATGAAAGATGTCCGGTTTCTATTAACTTATTATTAACTGTGTTTCCTTTTGTATTCTTTAAATAAAGCATTGATTTTTACTAAGAATGGTCTATGTTCTATTAGCTGTATTCACAAAATAGGGCTTATCCTCCAATATGAACCTGACTCTGACTAAGGTCACAGTGACCAATACTGAATTCAAACTGGAAGGAATAGATTGTTTAACACTGGAATGACGTCCAAGAGCAAAAACACTCGTGGGCATCCAAACACATGCAGATCCTCAAACCGATTCCGCTAATGAGAAGCTATCAAAGAAAGGCTCTTTGGGGACACACCCCAAATGAACCGCAAAAGGTCACACACAACCCCTTCCCTCTGAAATGAGGTAGACACAACATACAAATTAGCATATAGAATATCAAGTCATTGAATGTTCCTTGCCAAAGCTCCTGGGGGAGGCCAGGAGGGAGGCCAGGGAAAAGAGAAAGTGGGCAAAAATAAACAGGTCACTTTGGAAATACTTCTAGTCTTTTAATTCTATAGATCAAAAAAAAATTAAAGACACCCAAAATAATCGCACAAATCAGTAAAATTATGAGGAAAACAGGGAGGTGACGGTAGAGGAACGTCAACATCGAGTCATTTATTCTACCACAGTATAACCCCCCTGCTATCATAGATTTCTGTCTGAATACAAATTATAGAAGAGCCGGGCTCTCAAAATAAAAGAGGAACCTTTATAGTAAGTCAATTTAACTTTACATAAGTTCACTACATCACCCTTCTTTTAAAACAACAAATATTTTAGAACATATGGTACTCTTCACATAGAATGTCTCTGATACCAATTTGGGGGGAAAGTCTCTGGTTCTAAAAATGTGATCTTCAAATTAAATTTTGTTTATTTGAGGTAACATTTTCCTCTATAATTTCATTACCAGGTTGTAAAAATTCCCCTTGCTAGCATGTTCCCTGGTGAAAGTGATGATTTCTAGTGGAGATAAGGTAACGAACAGAATGACTTACTGTAAGGCCACGAAGCTGAGCTGACAACAGACACCTCTAAATTATTTTTGCTTCTTCCCAGCAAAGGCTGCAGTTTTTAAAGTCTGCGTGTACCTTGTTCTCTGATTTAACTGCCTAGATTAAGTGATACACACACACTCTGGCCTCTCTGTCAGAGCAACTGGATTAAAACCAGCTCTTTCCCCCTGCTGGTTGGATGTGTTCAACACTCTCTGCCTCACTGCCTGCAGCAGTAATACTCCCTAAAGTACTAAACCCATTTATTTTCCACCCACCAACTGACCTCCTAAAGCATCATTAACATGCCCCCAAAGGCCTCAGTGCTGTCAATTTCAGTCAAAACAGCGCTCAAAAGCTTTCCTGGGGCTTATCAGAGTTCTGGAGGAAAGGAATGCAAGGAAGGGCATCAGGCCCAAACCTTGGGGAATGGCCTAGACAGGAAGATGAAAGAGAGATGGAGAGGCCCCAGAAGAAGGAAATCCTATTTGGAGACAGGGTTGAAAAGATTGAAAGGTTGTTTAGAGACACCCATAATTATATGCTTCTGCTACTCAATTTTCAGCTAGTTAATGGCGAAAGGATCAATATCTACTTTCGATTTTCATGTACAGCATTATGGCCTTAGTGGGAGACAGGTCTCCTGGGAAGGGAGGGAAGATTCAGGAAACGGGTCTGGGAGAGAATGATTCACCACCAAAATTAATAACTTTATTGGGTTTGCCTTCGTATTTTTTCTAAAATATGTGTTGTTTTTTTCTTTTCTTTTCTGTGTTAACCAACTTCTTTTTATTTTCTGACGACACTACTCACTCCAAAGTCAGTCATGGAGAGAGAAATGGATTTTGTGGAGAGAATATCAGGAATAAATATGGAATTGAGTTATGTAAACAAAGCTGTGTCCGTTTGAAATGGTGCCCCCAGAGTTCATCCACACTCAGCAGAGTGAGCCCTGAGCTTCCAAATGGAGGTAAACAGCTTTACATTCTGCAAATACCACTCTAGGTTCTAGGAATCTGAACTGTGCCAGCTGATCAGTTATCCTTTTGTTTTCTTCTTGGCAAAGTATTAAGCAAACCATCGATGGATTTCCATTTTAAGCTAGACTCATATCATTCAAATGGCAAGAAAAACTTTAAAATATCCTATTTTGATAGATTTTTTTTTTCAGAACCAAGCAGAGAATTTGAGGTTTTATACAGGAAAAAGTAAAAAATAAAAAAATAGGCAGCATGGCATTTCTAATGTAAAACTTATGTATAGGGTGTAATTACTTTTATGAAAGTATGTAATAAATCCAAAACTGCATGTATATTATATAAAATCTTTGAAAAATGTAGTTGCCAGCACTTAATAAAAGGGGATGCTGCATAATGATAAATTATAACATCATTTTATCTTGACTCATGTGTCCATTCTCATACATGGTAATCTTCAAATACATGTTTTCTAAATAGGTTCTAAAAAAAATTCAACGCGAATCATAAGATAGTAACTCATTCAAACTTTACGCAAACACTCCTCAAAGGATATAAGTCCTTCTAAGTCATGTGCTTCAATAGCAATAATAGGCTTTGTCAAGTAATGATGATAACACCTTCACGAAGCTATGAAGATATGTGTACCCTTACCAAATACGCTCACATCTTTAAGGAAACGTCCTTGATCCTGTGCCCAAACTGACATCCATAATTCATGATAGTAAGAACTACCATGTATTATGCACCTCTAGAAGCCAGGCACTGTGCTAAAAGTACATTCAGGTACATGGGCTCATTCAACTTCACAGCAACTCTACAAGGTAGGTATTATCATCCCATTTTATGGATGGAACAACTGAGGCTTAAGGAAGTTAAACAACTTGCCCAAGGTCACACGGTAGATAAGTGGTGCAAGGGTCAGAGATTCCAGCTTTTTGTAATCAGCCTGTCAGATTCCTAAACTAGAAGGCCAGGCCAGCCTTGGGCTAAAATTGTCCTTGATTTTGACCTCATGTGTTAGGACTTACTTCATCTTTGGGGAATTCCATAATCAGAAGTACACAGGCTTATGGAGGTTGCTAGTATAAAATTCAATCTAATATTTTTTTCTAGATTTGACGAACATGTTTTTAAATATCCATAAAAACAAGAAGTTAGATTTTGACATTCTAAATTTTCCTATGTTAAAATAACATAGGAAAACAGGTATGAAATTCCATTGGGTTGAACCATATAAAACTGCTGTGTTTGTAGGCCCAAGAGGTACAACTTTATACAATTCATACTAAGAGTAGAGGTCTAGTTCTAGGGTCTAGAATCTAGGTTACACGGGCCCAGAGCGAGCCCCTTCACCATGCAGCTGCAGGGCGCACACTTGAGTCTGAGGCTCCCTGGGGTACTGTACCTGAGCAGAAGCTGTTGCTGCTAATGGTCCTCGCTGAGCGCCCAGAGCTGCTGGGGTTGAACTCTCTGCTCTCTTCCTCAGAGAAGGGAGACTCAGAGGCTGGGGACACTTTGTGCTGTTGCTGGGGCAGATGGGGCCGAAGAATCAACCGGGGAATTCGGCTCCGGGATGCCACCTTCTCGTGATGCTGCACTCTCTGCTGCTTCTCAAAATTGGACATCAAAAAGAAAACAAAAGGAAACTTGTTTCTCCCTCTCAGCTTCTTTCTGCTCCTTCAAGGATCAGTTGATAAGAAATCACATTTCTGAACATGAATCTTCACAGAATAGACCTCCTTTGCTCAGTTGCTGAAATGAGCTTCAAAACCAAGCTCACCATTCTAATCTGCCGGATCGCGCACGTGGCGCGCGCACTCGGACGCTTCCACCCACTAGCTGGAAAGCCCATCCCGCGCCCCCTGCCATTCCTGACTCACCTCCCCACTCTGGCTGTCACATTCAAGCTTTCAGCTCTCAAAAGTTCCTTATTACTCAAAGCACACTCCAGTTTATTTCTCGATTTCCTTTAGCCTTCCATTTCACTTTTCCTGAATTAGCTGTGAAATCTCACTTCTGTTTTCTTGTCTCCTCACAACCCCCCCGCCCCCCCTGTCCGGAACAATTTCTTTCCTGATAGATCGTGCACACTTATCCTTAGACTCCCTTCTCTTCCGGACAGGATCTTAATTATTCATTAATATCCTGATACACAAGGCTTGTTGCCAACAGCAAAGAAAACACACATCCAATACTCCGGGAAGATGGCTGCACCTCTTACAGGTTTAGCTTTTGTTGTCCTTACAGGACACCCATGAGAAAAGATTTTTCTGTTTCTCCTTTAAAATGTAGCATTAAATACCCTTTTTAAAAATGCACACAAAGCAATATTTTGACAATATTTTTCAGCGTATAAAGTGCTTTCCCAATCATTTTCCCATTTGGTCTTTATACATCAGGTTGTAACACAGAGAGGATATTAATTCACGTCCCTATTTACAGATGAAGAAACTGAGGCTAAAAGAGGTAAAGATGCTTAGGCGAGACTGAATGTCACCTAGAAGCAGAATGAGCTTGAAATCGAGTGCTTTTCGGGGTCACCACTATCTTGCCTTAAAATGGATTCCTAGGAGGAGCTTTCTGCAAAAATTCCACTGCTCTCTCCAACCTCTGCAACTGAAAAAGGCCTTGGGCTTGGTAACAGACACCATTTCACAACATGACCTCCTGCTCATTTCCACTGACTTAGCAGTAAGGGTCACGGCCAAAGCAAACACCTCTGGGAGGCTCACACAGGGCAGGAATTGAAAGGGAAACCCCAGCCCGAGGGAACTTGTGAGGTCCCTCAGGCATCCACCCTATCCAGGGGCCGCAAACCGCACCCTGCCCCTGCCTGCACATCTGGGCCCCAGCAGGTATCTCTGAACACTGCAGACCCCGAGCCAAAGTCAGGTCGCTCACACGCTGGAGTCCTTATTTCTCTGTCACGAATACATCAAATTCTTTTTATTCACATCACACACCCAGGGAATCGACTACAAACTACACCCCAAATCTCCAGCTTCAGGAGATGGGATTAACCCTCCAATGTCAATCTTTTTAATCCTTGTATCAATCTCCAAAATCGTACCCCCTGTTCTACCTTCCCATCTCCCGGATCTCATCCCCTAAGCACATGCCCCTCTGCCCTCCACCCTGCGCCCCACTGTACACGTCACCCCTCCAGCTCTCACCTGGCCCGCTTCTTACCCGGCAGAGCCCACCTTCCCGCTCCCTCGGGCGCCCGCACGACTTGCCCTCCTTACCTTGGTCTCCCGGAGGGGCCCCATCACTCCGCTGCCCGCCGGCTGCTCGCGCCGCCGCTGCCGCCGTCTAGGAGGAGGCACCTGCGGGCAGGGGCGAGGAGACTGCGCTGAGCTGGCGCGGGCTGCGGGCGGCG